TCAGCAAAGTCTCTGCCCATGACGCCGTAGTAAAGTCCATAAAACAGCATAATCACACCAACATCCATCGAGTCCTCTGCTTTGATCCTGTACAAAGAGAAAAAGGAATAACTCAGTTATTTAGCTGTACTCATGTCAGTACAGCTAATTTAACTGTACTCAATGGAACTGAGAGACATTTAAATGGAGTTTTGTAACTACCACTTAGTATCCAAAAAGCCACTAAAGAGGCGTTACACTGTATCTGATGGTATTCTGTCCTGGACATGTAAAAGGTGAAAGGTCAGCTGTTTGACAGCTCACTCAGCCAAAATCATATTTAAGATGTTAAGACCACAGTTTAATCAAATTAACCATATCTTCAACTCTTGACCCCTCAGTCACCTGATTTATTAAACTTTAATCTGTTTAAAACATGCAAACATTTACCTTCACAGCATGAATATTTTCTAAGCCAGTTAACTTAGACAAGAGGTGGATTAGCATTTTGTTGCTTTTAATTATGTTTCCTGTATCCTTTGGCCTGCTGGATATCTTAAGCAAGGGGATACCCACATCTGGACTGAAAGTATGTTTGAGGTCTGTTAAAAACCACAAGCACATCAACTGCAAAGTCTAGTTTGTATCATGGATGCTCTCTTCATGATTTGTTTACCTGCCTGTTCAACTTGTGATAAATGTATGGGGACATGAAGGGACATTTATATCCACTGTATCGTCCTCATATACTGGTTCAGAACTGATTTTTCATAGAGTGACTCTGAACTAAAACGTTTCAATACTTCCATTGAAACTGGTTTATTTGTGTTTTGTCTCACTATCTTAAACTCTTCCATGCAGTTGAAATCTCAAATAAAACATAACTCAGGGAAACTCAACCGGAAGTCAACACTGTAGCACCCTCTACAGTTCACTGCTACACTTGAGTGGCACTGGTAGCTTTCTGCATGTTTAGCCCATTCTGGAAATGAAACTCAGTGCAAGTGAAACTTAATGAAGTGAAA